CACCAAGGCTCCAAACAGCGAAGGGTGCCATGAGCCATCTCTGGCAGGTTGCTGAAGCACTCTTTTCCGTGCCGGCCCCAGGCCTAATGGCAGGATAAAGTAACGGAAAGAGCGAGGTACGAGTGATGACGTTCTGGTGGGGCGAAGCCCTTTGGGGAGGGGTCCAGGGGAGGGGCGAGGGCCGCGTGTTTGGATGTTAATGGCTGCCGGAGGGCCGTTTCCCTAGTATTTGCTCGGGTGAAGCAGCTCGCGGGCGCATTCCACGCCCCGTTTCTTTGTATTTTCTGAGCGACGCGGTTCAAGGGCCCCAACCCAAGAGGGCACCAAAACGACCCAAAGAAGGCCCCAAGAGAGCTCGGGATGGCCTCCAGACGGTCCAAAAGTGCCTCGAGACTGCTCCAGAGACCCTCCAGAGGGCTCTCGAGAGGGCCTCAGGAGCCAAAAAACATTGATTGCCTTTAGGGTTTTTGAAGGTTTTTCGGGTTCTCTCCTTTCCGGGCCCAGACGGGCCAAACACGGCCCACGAGGTCCCAAAGGTCGTCCGAAGACGGTCCCGGAGCCCCCCCAAATAGGCGGAAAACAGTCCAAGAGGGCCCCCAGACGGCCCAAGAGGGCCCCAAAACAGCCCCAGAGGGCCCCAAGACGGCCCCAAGAGAGCCGTAAGAGGCCCAAAGAGGCCCCCAAGAGGGCCCCAAGAGGGCCCCAAGAGAGCCCCAAGACGGCAAAAGGCTCCCAAGACGCCCCTAGACGGTCCAAAAGGGCCCCAAGACGGCCCATAATTGTCCCAAAAGGGCTCCCGAGGGGCTCCAAAAGGGCCTCAGGAAGACCCCGACGAGTTCCAAGAGACGCTCAACAGCATGGCTCCCATCAGCGAGCGGTGACGTAACAAGCTCTTAACACCGAGGTTCCACAGAGCGCGGTGACGTACAAAGCTTGTCACACCGAGGCTCCCTAGAGTGAGCGGCTACGCAGCAGTCCCTGAACACCAGGGCTCCCAACGGAGAGCGGCGACGTGACAAGCTCTTCACACCAAGGCTCCCAAGAGCGAAGGGTGTCATGAGCCCTCTCGGGCCAGTTCCTGAGGCGCTTTTTCAGTTTCCGTGCGGGCCCAGGTAGAATATGCCAAACCATTTGCGCCATTCATATTCGGTACCGCCGCTCAGACTTGGTAGGGTCAGCGGCAAACCGAGATGGGCGGGCCAACTACTCCTTGGGCATCGTGTCTCTTGCCTGGAGCCTCCGCTGGTAATTTAAGTGCATCCCCCCCCAGCTCCCCTGGACTCTGTGCTGCGTTGCTCCATTGTCCATTTTTTCCGCTGCCCATTCTGCGCTGTAAACGGCTCTGGCCTGTAGATATCATTCCCTTCCCTCCCGTTTGTCTTCCAGACCGTCGCCGTCCATGGTGATTGCGTCTGCCTGGCGCCATGCTCGAAAGGCCCGGCCCGTGCTGAGCTTCAGGAGCCTGCATTTTGGCCTCTGCGGATGCTGATGTTCCAGTATCCGGCGCTCCCTCTGCGGAACAACATTCGCCCGTGGGAGTGCCCGTCTCGCTTTCTTTCAGGTTTCCCATCCATTTTTTCCGGGGGTGGATTCGTTTGTCTTCACCTGGCGTGTTGATCTCGGTGCTGAGCTTCAGGAGCCTGCATTTTGGCCTCTGCGGATGCTGATGTTCCAGTATCCGGCGCTCCCTCTGCGGAACAACATTCGCCCGTGGGAGTGCCCGTCTCGCTTTCTTTCAGGT